GGCCCCAAACGCACGCCCAGTACACATGCTTATGCCAAAGGAATTGCTTAGATGCAGTGGTATACAGTTTGTCTATGTATGGCAAGCTCTCGCCTGGGAGTGAGCTCTTACCTGGAGATCCTTATCTCAGGGTTTGGAAATATGATAAGGAAATCATCTGAAGCAATCATGGGGATGGCCCACTTTGGTATCATTGAAAAAGCAGTTTTCTACAGCCATGCCAGAAAATGGGTGTATGCAAGAGCCCCCTTACCAATTCGCAGTAGGGCTGTATCAGTTTGCTGGGGTGTTTCTCTTTCATTTTTCCCTTACCTTTCTGACTTTGAGGAGTCCAACTGATTTTGGTGTCCAAACTTTTTGACCTTTTGGTTTCCCCCTACACTTCTGAGGTTTCGGCTGGGTTTGGTTGCTTTCGCCTGGCTTTGCTTGATGAACTTGTTGCCATGTAGTTGGCTCATTTTTGTTGACATCTTGTTGTTGGTAGCTTTCATGGGTTCAGCATGTTCAGCACTCATCATGTCAAGCGCCGAAGGCTCCAGTCCTGGCCTGCGGCTTCTCGCAGAGCAACATCCCGGAGCTTTGCGCACCTCGACGGGAGTGCAAGAACTCTGTCCGGAGGACGCCCGCGTTGTTTTTTGTTTGCCTTGGGCACCTCAGTAATGCATGGAACGGGGAGGCGTACCTTTGGTACCGGGCCCTTACAAATCCACACATGTTTGCCTGGAAACAATGTATGGAGGGGGGCTTTTGTGTGTGCCCAGTTGGTAGGAATCGCTTTCCGCGGGCTGGCGCAGCAGACTTGTTCGTTTGGGTGTGGGGGGGGCTCCATATTCCTTTTTCCCATTCAGACAAACGCCCTCCAGGAGTTGTTTTGTTTGATCAAGGGATGGTCCAGCGATTTTCGCAAACTGGGATTTTGGGCAAACTATGGCGACACCTTGGGGTCAATTGGGATTTGTACTCGGCTTGGCGTAGGCGTCCATTCCATCCAACCATTTCACGCCAGTTGGTGTTGGTTGGGTTTGTAGGCGGCATAAGATGGATGAGGAAAGGGATATATAGCAGCATAAAATCCCAGAAGCTACCTCGAAGCACTTCTGAGTTTTTGGAGACGATAGTGAATAGCTATTCCAAAGTTGACAGCAGATACAAGGTCGCTTCTTTAGAGTACAACTATATGTTCCTGGTATATCTTGAAATATGTGTTTGTTCTCTTAAACATGTGTATCTATGTTCAGCTTTATAAACTTCATATATATCTTGACATTCCTTTTATTTCGCTTTCCGGAGCTCAAACAACCTGGGGCTCAAAGATTCACATGGACCTGTTGGCTTGCCATGATGTGAAGTAACAGCCCCGCAAACAATAACATATGGGTTTGTGTTTTGTGAGGTTTGTGTTTTTGAGGGTGCTCTTCAAAGGTTAATTGAAAGGGAAACCAAACAAACACCACAATTTGGTTGTCCCGTTTTTGTTTGCTCATATCGATTTGCTTTGGACATCTGAATCGACATGCGCCGGAGTCATGTGTCGTTTCCTTTAGCCCCTCATTGACCTGCGTGCGGGCAACCAGAAAGGACCCAACCATTGGGGACAGACGCAGAGCGATACACTCAGGTCCTTCTCTTGCGGTACCAGGTGCTGCGCCCCTTGCAGCGGTTCCAGCAAGCGGGCTGGCGCGTGATTCAGCAGCAGTGCCCCGGCCGGCGGCAACGTTTGCTCCTTGTTTTGTGTTTTGAGCTCCCTTGGAAAACCTTGAGCCTTGAACGCCAAGCCAACCTTGCCAGCCTTGCCAAAGTTGTTTTTCGTTTTCTTTTTTTTCTGAAGCGGGGCTTCGTGCAAAAAAATGCAATTCTGGCTCCCATTGAAAACCCTGGTTCTCTTTTGCAGGTCCAGGCGAGTTGCTCTTCTGTGAATTTGTGATACTCCAAGTCTTTTCTCAGTGGCTTGGAGGAGACATGTGTCTTTTTGAATGTGTTGCCCTCGAATGGTACGTCCTGTCAAATGAATTAGGGGGATGTGTCCCTGTGCGAGTTGATTGACTCCAAAATTGGACACCCGCTATTTATCAACTGGGGGTTCACTTTTCATGGGTTCCCAATAGGAGAAAAGAAGAGCGCTCTTGTTTCCTGCAGCTGGACAAGTAAGGCGCCAGAACCGAGGATGCATGCAGGACGGGGTGGCCGGTGCCGATACGGCCAATATGGCCGTGCCTGGGTGTATTCATTGTGTTGTCTTGAAGCGCCTCTTATCAACATGCTTGGACACGTGTCGCTCTTCTCATGTTTGGGCAAGACTGCGGGACCCTTGGAAACCATGCAGATTTCCGTTAGCGGACTGCACGGACTGAGTGGTTGGCCAGGAAGTGGTCAAGAGCGTCGTTGAGATGACTCGGACTGGTCGCTTGGCGTGGCCGTCGCACAATGCACTAACTTCTTAGTGGAATTTCTTCCCACAGGCTCAGTGAAGGGCTCTTGATAGGGTCTTAGGTTAAGCAAGGGCCTTTTGAGGGCCATTGCCATTACTGTGGATTGGACCGCTTGGGCCATTGCCATTACTGTGGATTGGACCGCTTGGCCCAGGTGGGTTGATTTGAATTGATTGTCCTTCCTTTCCTTTTTGTCACACACAAAGAAGATACTAGTGGATCAACACACCACAGCACACAAGTCGATCAGACACGCCTGTTGCTCTAGTTTGCAGCCGCCCTTTAAAGTTTTTTCCGGGTTCTTTAAGCCAGCGAGTGCTAAAAGGTACCCAGTGAGAGTGGTTGAGTCTACAGCCTGAACCGCTACAACTACCAACTTGCAGTGCTGTTCCTTTACAATCATGTAAAATCCCCGGTGGAGACCAACCTGTAAAAATCAGGTGGTGGAGGTGTGAGTTCGCGTGTTGTGGGTGTGTTTCTCCGAGGGTTGCTGGCCAAAGCCGGGTCTTTGTGCACGTGCTGGGTGATACTAAACCAAAGATACTGGGTAGAGGTGTGAATCCCTTGAGTCAAGGTCCAGGAGTTCCATCGGACGGTACCGATTCAGTCACCGTCTTCAGTGCTATTTGGCCAGCCCCCGCAAATTTGGGTGGCTGTTGTGGCCAAGGTGAGTAAACAGCCTATATTTGCCGTCATCTATTGGAGCAAACGGGGTTTCGCACTCTCCCATTTCCTATGTCAGTTGGGGATTCAATGAACATTGACTGTGGCTTAGGTGGTCGCGAGTTGCTTTGCAGCTTGACGCTGCCCAAGTTCTTGTATCGCCTCGAGCTGATGCATGAGGCACGCACGACATGTATTTAGTCAAAAGGTAGGGGTCTTGAGGTTCCCTTTGGATTCAAGTAAGTGAGCCCATCCCCAGAAAATGGTAAGCCGAGTCAAGGCATGCCGTTTTGAGCTCGAAACATCATGCTGAGTGCTGGCAAAGGGACCTCCGTTGGGTGTGCAGTTGGATTTATTGATTGGACATGCAGGGCCGCCCTCGAAGAATAGGGAGATCAGTAGTGTCCTCAAGAAGGGGGTTGAAGACAACCCCTGAAAGACAGCCTTTGGCTTTGCGGCTTCACAAATCCACAGGCATCAACTCGGACCGGAATCAGCCACGGTCAGAGGGTTTCGTCTATTGTGTTTTTTCCAGTTGGGTGTTCCCTAAAAGGGGAATCTTCAAACCGGTCGTGTGCTTTTGGATTTGACTTTCCATTCAAAAGGAGGTCCCGAATTTGTTGAACATTTTCAGGCTCTTCCCGGGCAATTCAAGCACAATGAGGGGACGCACAATTCAAGTCAATTCCTTGGAGGTGAGGAGTTTCGGCTAGACGTTGACCTTCGTTCAGGAAAGCCGTCTCCTTTCATTGGCCCTGTCCATGTTAGCTTCGAGGCCTTGCAACAAATCATTGTTTTTTGGCCAACAGAAATGTGTTTGAAGATGTTCCATTGATGAAGGTTGTCCGGAGACGGTCCTACAAGTAGCTCATCAAAGACAGACCGGCAAGGGCGCCTAGGCTTCCTTTTATGCATCCGCCCAGATCCCAGATGCTTCGCTTGAAATCGCGCCACCCCAGCTTCCAGGTTCCTTCGAGCTTTTGTCCTGTCACTGACTTTATGCTATATAACCTGTCTTGTCACCATGTTCAAGCTTGCCGCTTGCTCGCCGGTCGATCCAGGCTCAAATCTATCGGCTTGCGTCGAGTTCCATTGATCGTGCCCTCAGGCAGCCAGACTCTCCGAGTTTTCCGTCCTTTCAAAGCAGGGCTTCGAATGAGAGGAGCACCTTTGCACCCTTCACGTTTGCCTGCCCAAATTGAAGCTGCTCAAACAGTTGTCACTGCCCCCCCAACAAAGACCCTCTAATATCCTCTAATCGAAGCTCTACTTTGTGTGTTGCTTTTCGTTTTCGCGACCGCTTGCTTGCACAAGCGAAGGGTTGAGCCGCTGGCGCTTGGGCGCGGCATGTCCGGCTTCGAGGATGCGCTGGAGGAGCAGTTGGCGCAGCTGAGATCTCATGTGCTGCAGGCGCCGACGTGGGGTTGGTGAGCTCGGGGAGGGGCGCGGAGGGAGGAGGGAAGCGTTTTGCAGGTGGTGCAAATATCATGTTGCCTCTGAGGGGGGGCCACGCTGCATTGTTTGTCCCGACCCTCACACCGCAACCCAGATTAGTTTCGAAATGAGTCTGTCGCTTTCCTGGTGGCGGGCCCAAAAGTGAAGCATCTCTACCAAAAGGGCTGCTCCACGATGGCAATCAGCCATGTGCCCCTTGGCTCCCTTTTGACAAGTTCTCCTTTGAGGGGTCCCATGGTTTTCTTGGAAAGTGTGGGTGGGGGGGGAGAAGGCAAGTTTTGATTGAAGCCCACCACACGTGGCACTTACATTGAGGAAGTTGGAATGGACCTTCCTTGGGTGCTAGCAACCAGAGGAGTAGTCTTGCTTTTTTGCTACATGTTTAGAAGTTTTACAAACTGTTGCTCCATTGTGGCATATTGTGGCCAAAGCTTGATTTGGTAGCCAGCTAACATGGCGGATGACGACGCTAGCCATGGCAGCTTGCAAGTCATCGTGGCTTCCACGGCGAAAATGAAAGTTGCGGCTGTAATGCGCCTGTTCGCCGAGGGCGGGGTGGCTTGTCAGCCTGACAGAGAGCTTGTGATTGAAGGAGTCAAAGCGAAGAGCGGCGTGAACGACCAACCTTTTGGCCACGAAGAGACCATTCGTGGGGCCCTGAACAGACTGGCTCATGCCCAGCAGGAAAGACCCGGGGCCGATTTCTATTTGGCGATGGAGAACGGCCTCTTCGACATCGCCACGGGCGGGACCGCGCTGGTCTTCGACTTGGCCTGGGTTGTGATCGAGGACAAGTCTGGTCGCAGGGCCCTGGCACACTCGGCAGGCGTGCAGATGCCCAATTGGGCCGTGGATTCGTCCAGGGGAAGCTCCTTCTCAACAACCGCCGGCGGTGAGGTGGCCCGAGCTGCCACAACGGCAGGACAGGAAGTCGATCCACAGGATCCTCATGCCTTTCTCACCTCCGGCCTTTGCAAGCGAGAGGATCTATTGACCAGCGCCCTCGCAGTTGCCTGGGGACAGCTGAAGTTTGAAATGGAATCAGCTTGACTGCTGCGATCTGCTGCGTCTGCAGCCACACGTTTCACAGGCAGATTGCTGCCCCTCCGCATCTCAGCCCCCAAAGGAAAAGTATGGCCCACTGAAAATGTTTGCTTGCTGCTAATTAGCCACCATGGCACCAGATGCCAGCTGCCTTGTTTGCCAAGCAAGTACGCGCTTCATCGCGTTTCGTTTGACTACACCTGGAAGCAACCGGCTACGCAGTTGCACATGTCACGCGTCCTCCAGGCTAGGGGCTGCAAATGCAAAGGTCAGTTGCACGAACGAAAAAATATCACGGCGACCCACAAGAGGCACGGAGCGGATGGGAGGGACGCCCCCCTTGGCACTCAATTCGGCATGCATGCAACGATTGAAAGGACTTGCATGAGGGCCCCTGTACCATGATCTTGAGGTAGGACCGGAGAGTGAGAACCCCCCTTTCGTTAAGCTAAGGAAGCATCCCCTTTTCCTTGCAAGTCATGATATGACTATAGCCAGGCATACCGTGGTAACCAACATAGCAAAATGGAAGGCAGAATCATAGCAATGCTACGGAGACTCCAGTTGTTCGGTGCCCCTCTTTTTCCCTTTTGTTTGGCTTGCTCACTCCAAACGCCCAATCACTAAGTTACCCCTGGTGAACATCAAAATAGGTGGCAAATGGATGTTCATCCACCCCAAAATGGATATATCCATAGATTATGCAACCCATGGCCATGTCAACCCCAACTTTTTCCGGCGTCCCCGGGGTCACGGGGGTCCTTCTGATCCGGACCCATCGGCCCTTGGGATGCGGCAGGCGCACCTGGCGGCCACGGATCGGCTCTGGGCCAACAATTTCTCCCGGGCCACCAGCGAGGACCAGCTGCACCCGGGATGTTTCCCGTGAGCTGATGCGGGGGCCTCGTTTTGTTGGAGGCTACCCCTTTCGTTGTGTTTTTGTGTTTTTGTGTTGTTGTTTTTGCAGGGAAGCCACAAGGAAGCCTGTTTTTTGTTTTTTTTTGGGGGGGGGAGCGGAGTTTGACGAAACAACCTAATGGGGGGCCCCCAAACGACCATGGGTGACTTTTCTATTGAGTGGTGAAAGTTATTTGTTTTGGTGGTTGCCTCAGTGGTCATCCCATGCAAGGGATGATTTGATCAACCCCCAAATATAGTCAATTCTTCTCCAAAGCGCGATGAAATCAACAAGGAGCTCCCGCAAAACAGAGATTCCTCTAGACATGGCCAATCTGCAGGAGAGCAACCATCACTAAGGTCAGCTGGGTTGGGCATAGCCATTTGCCTGTGTCATCCACTTTATCCAAAAGGAGACCTGGGCGCTAGTCCTAGGCTCTACTGTAGCCTCTTCCCCCAAGCCACTTTTGACATTTGGGTTTAATTCCTCGCAAATGTCGACCTGTGATCCTGTTTTGCTCATGGCCGCTGGTCAGGCATGTTGCTTGGTGGACTGACCAGGGCGAGCAAGGGTTGTACCTGGGGTGGCAAGTGAGTCGATCTTCCGACCTTGGGGTTTCCAACCTGGCATCGATGCATGTAGACGTTTGAGTCTGGATAGAGCTTTCTGATATGTCGTCCCCTTGTCAGAAATCCCTCCATAAATATTGCCTGAGGGGGCGCGCGTGCAATGCTGTGGTTGATTGTTGTCCACCCTCCTTGCCTCCCAAACCAAAAAAGGTAGAGCACGCCGGTCAATTGGCAGATACCGCTCGACCGCACAGGACTGTTCAGAAGTGTTGGCTTTGACGGACCGTTGACCACTGTAGCAGTTAGATGGTTCCTGCTCTCCAAGCATTCAGCATTTGCTTACCCTTTGCCAGTGCTTCAACTATTGTTGCAATACTATTTCCAGTTTTTGTGGAAAGACGGCACCACATGTAAGCTTGCCTTGGTTAAGTTGTTGGTTTTGTTGCAACGTACAACATATACCCGTGAAACCCACCATATTTTGTATTTATCCTAGTTCAGAGGGGGAAAATGATTCCGCTCCCTCCGGGCTGCGAACAGGATATCGCCTTGTCGGATGAGATCCCCAAAGAGTACGATGAGGATTTCGAGGCCTGGGAGGGCATGCATGCCATCCTGGATGCTATGTTTGATCTTGTGTTCTTCCCCCCCCCTTTGCCCCCCCAACCAAAAACACAACTTGGCATAGGGTCTTTGTAAACCTCTACTTTTAGCCATGTTCAAACAGGTTCCCCTTTGTTGGTCCTTGCTGTGTTTGTTTTTGTTGTTTAAAAAATCACTGTAGCCATGACCCAAAAGACGAGCAACAACCCTTTTCCCAGGCGCCGCCCGTGCGGTTTGAATCCTGCAAGACCGATATCACCATCGTGAGCGCGCGTCCTGCTGCTGTCGAGCGCTGGGCGCCCTTGGCGGCATAGCTGGCTGTTTTTTTGTTGTTTGTTTTTGTTTTGCGGGTGCCCCTTGTTTGTGATTTCAACTGGAAACTAGCAGGAAAACAGCTCGTTTTAGGGGTCTCCTAACAGAAGCCACACCCACACATGTAGCCAGCCGCCAAACACGGGGTGAATGGAGTTGGGTCCTTTAGGTAGCACCCAGAACTGCGGCCCTGCGGCCTTTCTTTTGCTGGTGTCCGAAGCCTATACTATCTTAGAACGAAAGGCCAACGGATTTTGGGCGCTGCAACTCCGACCTTGGCTTCCCGTGTTGGCTTATTGAGTATTGGTTGCAGTATTTCCGAGCGAGGTGCCCTCCCACAAACATTGAAGTGCTGGGCGGCCTTTTCCAGATTGACAGTGGCCTTGCATTCGGGGATGGAAGGGGGGAGGGCTTAGGGCTTGCAGTTTGGGAACCCTTGAAATTATGCGGCGGGGGGTGGTCCCTTGAACATGAAAAGTACTGGCCCAGCCCCCAGGAGCATCACAACACTTATCCGCTAAGCAATGTACAGGGATGGGACGTCCACATCCATCAAGGCGCCCCTGTATAGACGTCGTTCGCAAGTCGCGCGCGGGCCCGTTTCACAAAATTCCCATGGTGTTTCTTTTGGGTAAAGAAAGGGAAGAGTATCTATATCCAGGTGATTTCCTGCTAGGGCATCACAGAGAGGCCTCCATTGAACTCTGCTCCAGGGAAGGTTGACCCGGCGGCTTCTCGACCCAACTATGCACGAGGCGGGGGGGAGGGGGGGACGAAGGCGGACCGCAGAGGCATAAACCTGAGGGTTCTTGGCACAGAACCTCCAATTTCGATCAAAGGAAGCCGAGCTAGGATGGGTCTGGGTATGTATCGATGCTGTTTTGCTTTGGACCCTTTGACACCCCGGCTGAGCACACCCTGTTGCCATTGCAGAAGTCGACACGAGTGTGTTTCAAGGTGTGTATTCCATTGGGTTTTGGTTCTTTGGAAGCCAGAGCGATGTCGCGTCCTGGCTGTGTTTGTTGTTGTTTGGACTTTGGATTGAAATTCCAAGCGAAATCAGGGAAACGCTGAACATGCCTTTTTGTTTTGGTTAATCCCTTCCTCCTAATAGTGAAGGTCCCGCCAACAATAAGATTCATTGTTGAGAATCCCAAATCCGAGAATACTACTTTTAGAACAGGCCAATACTAAACCAATTCTAAAGTAAATCCCGCCCTATTCGGAGACCCTTCTCTACCTTCAATCCTGCTCCGGGAGTGCGTTTTGATGTTTATCCACCAAAATTATGTTTGCATCTATCTACCAATCCATCCACCTTTCTGTGCATTTATATTTATATACATAGGTGACGCATGTACAATATTCACATACATGTTCATGTGGATGCTCATGTTTATGGTTTGACTTGATGTGTAGCTCCGATTTTTCAAAAAGCGCCAGCACTTGGCCCTGCACAACGAGTGGGTGGCGGCCTCCGCCGTGGACAAGCCGAGCATCGGGGCCAAAAGGGAAGGGGTCTGGGAGAGTTCCAGCCGTAGCTTCCCCATTCTCAGGGATCCTTTTTGACAACTTGGCCAATCCCCCAGAAAAATGGGCGGTTTCCAAAGAGAAGGATGGGTGAAGAGGGGTTGGGGAATTAAGCTGTGGAATAGTTGTTTGTCATGGTTGGATCGTGTTGGGCAATCAAATCGTTTAGTCAGGGACTCTCCCAACCAACAATAGGCGCGGCCGCCTCATTGGGTTTTTTAGTTACATGGATTTGGCTGGAACATTTGCATTTTCAGGGCTCAACCCTGCTATTGGCTTGCCGGCCTTGTTTCCTATTTGACGCCGCGATTGTTTCCTCTTTGCCGCTCCAGTATTTGGCGCTTGTCCTTGGCTGACGACCCACCGAGCCCCCGCGAGCCTGGCACGGCAGCTTGTTCTTCATGCACTCTTTATGTTCATTGCACTCGCCCAAGCACTGACCTAATTTCACACACACACACACACTGGACGTGGGTGTTAAATTGTGCAAGGTTGGAAATAGACATATACCCGGACATGCTATAGATGCTGCATTCAGCTACGGCCGGGTCAAGCTGTCACATTCGAGTTTCGATTTGACTCAAGAGCAAAAACAACGATCTCAAGTTCATTGGCGTTAAGTGGCGTTAAACAGGGCCAGCATGCGTACAAATGCATTGTGCATCATTGTGCAAATTAGTGATGGTGATCTCGGCCAGCTCCTTTTTGAACAAGCCCCTTTCGGTTTCGCTTAACAGGGACCAGCATTTGGGTGTTTAAGCAAGTGTTTCGCAAACCCGGTTTGCATCCACGATAGAAGGCCCCTCACTTAGAGCCCCTTTTGCCGGCTACAGAAGTAGGTTTTACTGTTTCCTTCTGCCAAGGCAGATGGATCCAAATCCATTGGTCGGAGCACGAGGAAGGCCCCTTGCGGGGAAGCCTCGGGGGTGCTGGGTATTGCGTTCCTGTTTCAAGTCCCCCACCAACTGGCTAAGAGAGCCATTGCTAGTTTAGATTGCTTCGGGGTGTGAGCCTGTACAACTGGTTCTCGATGACACCAACGAAGGGAGCAGCCGTCAATCTCCAAAGTACCAATCCACACAGCAAACAAGGCG